CACTAGCAACAGCTAATTGTTTCTATTGGCTTCATAGTCGGAATAGCCCTGCACACATAACTTTGTGGTGGTTAGTGGTCGTGTCGATTTTCAATATTTAGTTTTAGAAGCTGTAAGAGTCACGTGTGTAAACCTGCCCTCCTTTTCTTTTTGGTGTGCTCTTTCTCTTCCACTGTGAAAACACACTCACTCATAAAATTTCTCAAACTCTTAATGAGTTTTATTTAGGAAGGTTCCTAAATAATTGTCATGACCTGGAATTATCTGCATGGCCACAAGAGCTGGTGGAATTCTCTAAAAACTAAGGAATGCTGCTTCATTGCTTTCTTTCTTTCCCTTCTTTAGGAAAGTATGCAGTGGATTAATTTATAAAAGAAGGTGATGTCTTGCCACAGTTCATGTTACACACGGACCCACCATCATTACAAACAAACAAATGCCTGACAGGTGGAGCAGCTAGACAACACTGCATTTTCAATTTTAAGCAATATGCTGTTTATGTCTCTGTGATAGAAATGGCTCCTTATCAGGTTATTAGAATAAAACTCTCATATTTACATTCAAAGTTTATATAAAGTTCTTGGGTGCTTTATTAAAATAATCAAATCGAATTTAAGATTGATCATAACACATTTTGCATTAGTTATGTTTGTTGTTGTAGTATTTTTAAATAATTGACTGTAGGCCTCTTCTTTAGCTTTATGTTCGTCCTTGAAGTTATCAGTGCTTCAAGAAAAGACACTTTGCAGGTATTTATGGAGCTTTAGGTCAGCGTTTCAAACGCAGCTTGCTCTTTCTCTGCCTCACTGCAGTTTCTCCATTTCAATTACAAGCCCATATGTGCTGTAGCTTTTAGTCTTTTACCTCCACCCGTAACCTCAACCTTTCTTTATCTGCTCCTCAGTCAGTTCCCAGGCTTTCACACATTTTCTCTGCATGAGGTCTCTGCAAGGTGGCCTCACTTCAAACACACACCCGTGAATTTGAATATGCTAACTTTCATTGTAATACAGCCCGAGGCCCAGCTGTGCTGCATTTTTCTAACACCACGTACTTTGCATGTGAGATTTAAAAATTCCATTTATCTTGTCATGCTAATCGTTGCTTTATTCACTACCCGCTGCAGTTGCATGTGGATATGTTGTAAATTTATTTCCTTTTAATCCATCGTGAGCCGATAGCAACACAGCGAAACTTAATTCTGCAACCTTATAACAAAGCTAACAAAGCTATCTAGCTTCTCTCACAATCATATAACATCAGAGACGTAGAAAGAAAATATCGCTGTTGTCTTAATAACTTATTATAAATACGTAATTAATGCTCGACACACAATAAAATGCGTCATAATGTGGACACACCCCTTAGCATTTTAATGAGCTTTTACTCCGCTTTCTCTCTTCGCCTTCCAGTATTGAGGACTACACTTCCCATGCTCCTTCGAGGTTGGAGCTTGCGCAATTTGTTTTCCACGGCCCTAGCTGCTGGCAGTGGCTGTATGCTGTTTGTTGTGTTTACATTAAGGAAGAGAAAGAAAGAATTTCCCAAGTTATTGTAACACCGTGGCTGTCGCATGAGGTAAGCACCAGACCTTTGTTAAATGTGTGCTCTATCTGTCTGTTAATCACTTGTATGGACGTTATCAGGAAGAAAAAGTCTACAGTTAAATTAGTTGTTGAGCGATAATTTAGCTAGCATCACAAACAGACAAGCTAGTTGAACACTAAAGAAGCGAAAGTCATCGATTACAGGGCCATAGGCAACATGCTGAACTCTATATATGAGATTATGCCAGTTTTAGAGGATTTTTTAAGCAGACCACAATGAGCCAGTTAGCCCTGAGTGTGTGTTATCATCTTATTGCGCTAACCCACTGAGTCAGCTTGCTAGCGTTGAATAAAACAGTATCGCACAGAGACAATAGGTGGACAAACGTTTGCATCTTAAGACAAAGGAGAGGACATCGCTGGTGTATAATGTCACCATGCAACAAATAAGACGATAGCAGCGTTTATGAAACGCACATAAGCTTTGCTTCTCTTAGCAAGGCATTAGATGCTGATAGATTTTGTGCAGAAGTTATTAAGTTGTGATCTATATGAAAGTCGTTAGATATTCTGTAAGAGCACGTGTTTAGTGTGCGGACAAGTATTTTTAGAAAGACTATCTATCTATCTATCTATATATATATATATATATATATTAGTCAAATGTGGCTGATAATGGTATGGTTTTCAAAATAAAGAGTTACATCATCATCAGCTTGTGAAACAGTAAAAATGACTAAATATCAAAACTCTGAGAAAATTTGCCAAACATTGTATTGTTGAACTTTCTTAGTATTAGAAGGCTTTTTCTGATGTGTGTAAAACACAAACTAATGGAGGTTTATTTTTATGGATGTGCATGGAAAACTACCAGGTTTAGAAAGGCTACTGTTTGTAAAAGCCAAATGATAAGCTTGTTATACAGATGGCTGATTCATTGAATAGGTAAAAACATTAAATATTATGTGACAGTTGAGTTAACAAAAAATCACAAGAAAATAGGTCTTCAAGCAGTTGTGTGTCTTAGCAAAGCAAGTAGCAAGAGCTGTTAGCATCTGCATTTCAAAGGTTGAACGTTTTCCATTCAGCCCCTCACTTTGTTTCCTTGGGTTTTGGTTTGTTGCAGGTTACTGGGTGAGCCCCTCCCTGCCATGAGAGCGGACCACCAGGTCACCAGCCCCCCCTCCTTCTGCAGTTGATGGATCTGCAGCTGGTGCAGAGATGACAGACAGCGTCAGGGCTTTCCTCCGCGATGTTGCGACGGTTAGCAAACACAAAGACACTGCACCCATAAATATTTAATGACATAAAGTGCAAGTATGTAGTGTATGCAAGCTGAAACAGAAACATTCAAAACAATGGAGCCATTCAGCCTTGCTGGTTGAAACAGTAGAAAGAGCGAGCTGAAGATCGTAATTCTGACTGATTTCTGTGACATACACATGATTTAGCAATCTTAATGTAGATAGTATGTTCCATCCATTTGGTGTCAAAGTATTGGATGTTAAAGTTCTGCTAGTAGCCAGTTTTGAAACTTGGCAGCCGACATCTTGGAATAAGCCCAGACTCTCATTTTTAAGTCTCTAAAAGTAGAGCGATCATTT